TTTTTGTTTAATTTTATTGTTTTCCTTCATAGTGACGAAGAGCTTTCGATAATGCTTTTGAGCTCATTTGGAATTTTTTAAATGGGTTTGCAGCTGCTAAATCTTTTAGAGCCTTGCCAGATTCTAAGCTTATGTTCATGCATGGTTGATGAATCTTTCTAATAAAATTTGACGAAACCTGCAAGTGTAAATAAGTAAGTAACGAAAATTATAACACGTTGTTTTAAATAAATTTGGAGTGGACTAATTGATTACACATTTAATACCCGAGTCATCGAGTTTGTGTAGCCACTAAGTGCTTCAATATGACGGGCACATTCTTTAGCAAGATCACGAATCTTCAAGTATTGTTTCCATGGATGACGAAACTTAAAGCGACCATGACCAGGCTCCCACCCAGCAAAATTTTCCCAAAAATACATAAAAAGAAAATTTATCCTTTATGGCATCGACTGTAATTTTGAACAAACAAGTCTAAGTTACTTTGAACTGTAAAACTTTAAGTTGTTGAGTATTTACCGAGGATTTCTTGGTGGCCTTTGCATCTAGGATGCTTTTATATCCTTGAAGAAAAGACTTGTCATTTTTGGAGGCAACTACACTACCTTCATCTCCGGGAAAACCAAAAAATTCATCTCCAAAACCTGAAACTTAGTTTTTTTAGCAAGGTTTGTTAGTCACATATATTATATATATCAAATTTTTACGTTTCATGACAAATTTTTACCTTCTAAGACGCTTGCAAGTTTTTCTAAATTTTCAGCAGCTAGATTATGCAAATCTTGACCTGCCCAAACTGGAAATATGAATGCGGAGATTGCAACGCAGGCTATGGCACCAATTAAAACTGTTAACAGCCTTTGGTAAGCAAGCTGGATAATTTGGTCCACTTGATAGTCCGATATAGCCACAAGTGAGAAGGTGAGTATGATCGTGACTGCACAATCATATCTCCTTTCGATATTTGGAAAAGACCTCATAAACGTTGCTACTGCAGCTGCATAGCCTGCATTTAGAGATTTCGAAAACAATTCATCAGATGTAAATATTGAAGTTTCTTAAATCTTATCAATCTATTTTTGTTGCAGTAAAGATTACAGGAATACTGAGTTTTTATTTGGGTACGAGTTTACCTATAATGAACATCAGAATGCAAAGAAGAACATGTTCTCCTTTCTCTCC